TATAGCGCGACTGTGGAAATTAAGTGTATTGCAAAGTTGTATAAAGAAAGAATAAACTAGTTTTATTTAAGAAAGGACTTGTATTGCTAAAGTTTCTTCGGAAAGAATTTTTACGGAAAATTAACAAACGAACACAGAGGCATAACAGTATATTACAGAAGAAGTGAAGCTTACGTGGGTAGGAATATTTGTTTTAACCTATATATTGCAGAACTATGTAGTTTCAAAACAGACGGATAAGGTCCGTTAAAATTTGAATCAAAGAAAGGATCATCTGAGATGTAAATCGTAAATATAAATTACCGATTGTGTTATATCAAGTGATCATTTGGCTCCTTGAGAATGTCTTTTCTCTCATAACGAACAGAAGTCCAATTACTAGATACAGCCCTGATCTCCCAAATATTCACCAACTCTATTCTAAAACGCCCATAATGATGCAATTTCTATTACTTTAGATACAAGATTATTCTAGAGCTCTGCCACCGTATTGGAGAAATAAAACTGCCACAGTTGAATACATGTCTGACCTTTACAAATCTTAAAATCATAGCCACTTGTCCTACTATCCTCGAGATTTGACAAGAAATAAACTGGTATTTCACTCTCATTATTTCCTTTAGTAATTTTTAATATTTAAATTAGGTTACCCCTTATGTATTCTCAGATATAATAATCTTAGACATAACAATAATCACCGCATTAAACAAAGGAACATCGGAAAATGTTATGAAGAGTTAAATTAAGTTTCTTGCTTGATTGAATCATAGTGTTACGCCTCCAGTCGTTAGTTGATTTTCCGTAACTTCGTTCCGACGAAACTTTAGCGACACAGGTCCTTACTTAATAAAACTGGTTTATTATTTCAGAATACAACTTTACGATACACTTATTTTCAACAGTCGCGCTATAACAAACGCTATATCTCACGTGGCCAACAATATTTTGTCCGCATACATTCAATTACTCATTACACTGTTGTTCCGTCACGTTGTGAGCGTCTTATATACCAGACTAACATATATCTAGTAAATGCTAGGACATTCTTGAAGGAACAGGATATTTCTAGAAATACGTGGCGTGACACTAGTCATGTGACCTCGCTGACGCAACACTGCCCCCTCCTTAGTATTGTTCGTCCCGAACAATAACCACTTACAATAAACCAATAACAATTAACAATAACTTAATTAAAATGTACAGAATTACAAACACAAAATTACAATTCAACAAAGTCTCTTAATTTTACGGGACGTATCTTCTTCCGTACTGGTCTCCATCTCGTTGGCTTCTGCTTCACATGGGGTTCATCTGCTTCATAAGGAAATGTCTTATCGTCGATAACAGTCACATCAGTGGTAGTAACTTTATCAAGAGCTTCGCCGTTTCCCTTCTGAAAACTGAGTAGAGTTTCTTCTTCGACGGTGGCTTCTTCAGGTGGCACATTTTATCCGGAAAGTCACGCCTGAGAGACGATCCACTATGTCATATGGGCCTTCCTCTGGAGAAGACAACTTAGAAGACTTCCCTTTGGTCTTCCTTGGATTATACAACCACACCTTGTCTCCTGGTTCAAAGCTGACTTCAGTAGATCTCTTATCATAAGTTAACTTCATCGAATCAGCAGACGTTTTCAAGTTTGAACGCACTTGATGGGGAATATTATCCATCCTTTCTGACAACACTTTCACAAACTCTGACACATTCTCAGGCAACTTTTCATAAGGTGGGCGTCCTGTTAACAGATCCACAGGCAACCGAAGTTCCCGACCAAACATCAACTTTGCTGGAGTGTATCCAGTGGTTTCATGCTCTGCTGTCCTATAGGCC